TAAACAAAAGTCATCATCGTTTTTAATATTAATACACGCTTTTTTCTTTGCTATCCATTCGGGTAGTTCTATAAATTTTCCCGCTCTTGTCGGGTCATATTTGTCATAATGTATTGTTATTTTACTAACTTTCTTTATTTTTAATCCTGATTTACTTAAGTTCTTGTTTTCAACTAAAAGTTCAATATCACTCGCCATATTATTTATTGCATTGTTTAAATCTTCTTCATTTAAAATATTGTATCTTCTACTTCCTATTGTATGTGTTCTATCTTCATCAACATCGTCTTCATCTACTGCGAGATATGTAAATACTAAATCAACTGTTATTAAAACTTTCATACTCTTATGTTTCTTAAGATAATCGTTTAAGCGTTCTTTTTGATATTTAAGGTATGATAAACCTTTAAAACCTGAAAGATTTATATTTGTAATGGAATAAGAATTAGCATAAGATTTTAACGCGGATTGTTCATCTGTTATTGATGCTTTGTTTTTAATAGCATAACTTTTTAAAGCTTGACGAACCATAATTTTTTAGAAGCGTCGTTTAATATTTTAAAGCGTTTGTATTCTGGAGTTTTAGATATTTTGTTAAGTTTCTTTGTTAAACGCTTTGTAAAAGGCTTTGATGGATTATATGGGTATTCTTTGTCATTTATAATTACTCGTTTTAATTGTTTACCTTTATCATTAACTTTAATCTCACCTATTTTTGAAGATAAAACATATTTCATGACGGATTTTTTTAATGTATCTTCCATATAATAATATAGGGTTTCTCCCTTTAAGTCGGGTTTTCTGGGGTCTGGCTCCATACCCTTTAAGGGGGCTTCCCTTTAAGACCCTTTAGGGGGCTGGGGCTCGGCGGGGGCACCGCCTTAAAAATATAAAATTAGGTTTTATAATATATGTTATTATAAAACTTAATTAGTATGTGAAATTGTTTTCATCGTGTTCATCATATATTTGTTCTCGTTCCTGTGATATTCTGTCTACTTTCATTTCTAGTTGTCTTCTTGCATCTTTTTTATTCCGCTGTTTTTTTAGTGCTTCTATTTCATCACATAAATCACAACCTTCAAAGGTTTTCTTACAAAAATTACAACCAATGAAATATACAATATTTTGTATTGTATGTTCTGGTAAAACTTGTATTGAATTGTTTAAATGTTTCTTCTTATCATTACAAATCATACAATAAATGGGGTGGTCTTCATCATCATAGTCTAAAAGACGATTATAATATTTTACCTGTTCGGGTTGCTCGGTCATAGGCTCCTTACCTCTTAAGGGGGGCTTCCCTTTAAGACCCTTTGGGGGCTGGGCTGGGGCTAGGCACTCCTTTTTATTTGATGGAAACATTTTCAAACATTCTATAGGTAGTAGTCAGTATTACAACTGCCAACTGTCAGTATTACAACTGCCAACTGTCAGTATTACAACTGCCAACTGTCAGTATTACAACTGCCAACTGGCAGTATTACAACTAACTACTGGCAGTATTACAACCAACTACTGGTAGTATTACAACCAACTACTGGCAGTATTACAACTGCCAACTGTCAGTGTTACAACCTACTACTGGCAGTAGCAAGAACAAATGACCAAACACTGATAGTATATTGAAGCAGTTAAAAAATACTGATACCCCGTTCTGTGAATACTGATGATGAACTAACAAACTATTTGAATGATTTATTAAATGGTTGTAATAATTAAAACCATCCTGAATACATATAAAGAAAAAACCACCTTGAAACAATATGGAAAAAGAATGTCCTAAATGTAGACAGTTAAGACCATTAGATTGGTTTATAGAAGGTAGACAACTATGTCAGCAATGTATAAACCATCAACACACATACAGACAACGACATAAGGAACAAGTCAATGCATATAACAAACAATATTATCAAGAACATAAAGAAGAAATTAAAGCAAAGAAAAAAGACATGTACATTGATTGTTTCTATTGTAAATGTCCAGTTCATGAATATAGAATGAAACGCCATATTGAGTCAAACAAACATCAAAAACTAATGCTGGCCTTTCATAATAAAAACAATACTGAAATTAATTAACCTTCAAGACAAAAAACCCCACGACAAACATTCATAATAAAATTTATTATGAATATTTGATAAAACGTTAGAACCTAAAACTCCCCAGAAAACTAGGAATTATGATAATCCCTGAAATTATGAATAAGGTAGATATATAAAAAATGTAATATTTTAGGCATAAATTATCAAAATGTTGAAAAAATAATTTTATATAATGAATAAGAGGTCAATCAACCCCAGAAGCCCCGCCGAAAATTGAAATATGAGATTTTTGAAAATCTGAAAAATTTTGTGAAAAAATAATGAATAAGGTAATTTTCAAAAATGGGAAAATGAATAAGGTAATTTTTCATAAAAATAATGAATAAGATTAAACATTAAAAAATAATTGTAATAAATTAAGACTTAAAATAAAAAGCCCTAGAAAAATTATTTTATGAAATGAAAAAGGTTGATAAAATGATTTTTTGTAGATTTTAAATTATAGGTATGATAAAACGAATAAGGTTAATTGTATAAATTGATATGTGGGCGCCTGTGGCGGAAGCCTGAGAATCCCCCTATTACTAATTTTTTTGGGGGGGGGTGGCGGGGGGTGGTGGGGGGGGGGGGGGGGGGGGGGTTGGGGGGGGTGGGGGTAAGGGGTGGGGGGGGGGGTAGGGGGCGGGTAGGGGGGGGGGGTAGGGGGGGGAACCCTGTCCTGGGGTTTTGGGGGGGTAAGGAGGGAAAGAGGGAGGTTTTCACCTCCTTTTCCCATCCAACACGCCGCCAGGGTCGGCGCACCCTAAACTTAAACCCTAAACCCCAAACCCTAAGCGCGGAGGGGTCGACTTGGGGGTCCAGCGCGGATCCGAGCGCGTCTTGCCCGGGACTCGGGTTGCCTCCGAAAAGGTTTAGGGTGCGGGGTTTAGGGTTTAAGGTTTGGGTTTAGGGTGTAGGGTTTGGGGGTTAGGGTGTGGGGTTTGGGGGTTTAGGGTTTAGGGTTTGGGGGTTTAGGGTTTAGGGTTTAGGGTTTAGGGCTCAGGACTTAACGGTTCAGGGTTTAGGACTTAACGGTTCAGGGTTTTGGACGTTAGGGTTTAGGGTTTAGGGTCCATTAGGGTTTAGGGTTTAGGGTTTAGGGCTGTTGCAGTTGGGGCATAAACTGGCCTCAATGGGGGGGGGGGGGGGGGGGGGGGGGGACCTCAGTGCCAAAGGTTGTACCCCCAAAGGTCGCAGCCCTAGAAGGTTCCCCCCCTCCCCCTCAATATCACCTTCACTACCTTTACATATCATGAATCCCTAAACCCGGAAACCTAAGCCCTAAACCCGTAACCCTAAACCCTACACGCTAAACACTAAACCCTAAACCCTAAACCCTAAACCCTAAACCCTAAACCCTAAACCCTAAACCCTAAACTCTAAGCTCAGGGAGTTGCCTGGCTTCGGGCCGACAGGGTTTTGGGGTCTTAGGGCTTATAGGGTTTATGGGGTCCATACGCCCAGATGGGGATTCCACGCTTTAGGGTTTAGGGTTTAGGGTTTAAGGTTTAGGGTTTAGGGTTTAGGGTTTTGCGTTTTTAGTGCTTCGGGAAGATCATCCCAATTTTCAGTACCTAAGGTCTTCTTACAAAACCCACCATGGGTTCTTTGAAGCCAGGTGCTGCCTGGCCGACCGGGCGCTGCGGGTCGTGGAGCCCCAAGCATGCTTGCTGACGATTTTAGGGTTTAGGGTTTAGGGTTTAGGGTTTAGGGGCCGTTGGAATCTGAATGGTTTTTTTCGTGAGTGTGCAGTCTGCTAAGAGTCTGCTATCTTTCCAGTGACAAAGGGATGACAGGGCATAGTATTGACCTAGGCTCCTGTGTTACCTACAATACCTCTGTGCGATCCGCTTCTTTTCACCTGTTTCGGGTCTAGGGGCCCTTCAACCCCCACATGTCATATTTCAACCTGGGTCTGGTAGACTCTAAGGGTAGTTATACGGGCCCGAAATGTGGTCCCTTACCTTTAAAGGGTTCTGATGTATGGGCCCTTGGGTTTTACACGGTATTTGAGGGTCCCCTTTTCAGGGCTGGTAAGGGACCATGTAACTACCCGAAGAGCCTAGAACCCGGAGTAGGCCCTTATTTCCTTTTTTTGGGGTTGGGGTTCCCTTGTAATCCCCTTAAGACCCAAAAGGGCTCCCTTTTTATTCCTATGATACTGCTGGGTCTAGGAGTAGACATTGTTTGTTCAGTTCATCACCTCAACAGCCAAGAATGCAACCGCTGCTCTATGGCCCCTGACCCCCACAGACCCAAAGGCCATGTCAGCCAAGAAAAGAGGGGTTTGGGGTTTGGGGTTTAGGGTTTAGGGTTTAGGGTGAGCCAAGAAGTGGGGCTGAGGTTTTTGTTGTGAGGAAGGCGTAGAACTACGGGCCACTGCTTAGGCCGAGCTTCCGAAGAAGTTTTCGCAGCGTTTCAGCCACCTCCAAAACCCTAAACCTTGTAATTAAGCCCCAGGTAAGGTTTCAATTCATGGTCCCCCATTCCGTGCGGTTTAGGGTTTAGGGTTTAGGGTTTAGAGTTTAGGGTTTAGGGTTTAGGGTTTAGGGTTTAGGGTTTAGGGTTTAGGGTTTAGGGTGTGCTTTGTGTTCGTGGCGCGCCGGGCGCCGATTCGAGGGTTGAGCCCCCTTAAGTATTCGCATCGTGTTCTTAGCATCTGAACGGCTCTCTCTTCCTTGTCTTGGTTCAAGGTGACACTAGGTAGGCCCTCTGGGGATGTTTTACATCTTCCCTTATTTGGCTTAAGAGGGTTCCTATTCAGGAACATTTTTTCTGAGGGTTTTAAGGATGCCCTTCCCTTTTTTGGGGGGGTTTAGGTTCCTTTACAAACCCCTTTAAGCAAAAAAAGGGGCACCCATTCTAATGCTAGGTCTGAAGGGCCCGCCTAGGTCAGCATCGTTGATAGTCGCAATGGCCGACAACTCGCAGCTCGGCCACGTGTCCAAAACGCAGCGCACGCGTTTCATCGGCTTGTCCGGCGAGAGCTGCGACTTCGTGGAGTCCTTTGCACCCAGGACTACTATTTGCTTAAGAACCCCAATAGAATTTAAAAAAAGCAATCCCCTACATTACCCTTAATAAAGGAAGAATATTTTTTATTTTTCGTTCTTAAGCAATTCGTAGAGGATGTCCATCAAAGACCTGCGAGCCCGGGCGGCCGCATCCAGGGGTGTGAAGGCGGCGCGCCTTCGCTTCTTTCGCACGAGCAGCTGTGCTGCTTTGGGAGATGAGGATGAAGTGACCTACGAGGTCGGGGTTTAGGTTATAGGGTTTAGAGTTTAGGCTTTAGGCTTTAGGGTTTAGGGTTTAGGGTTTTGAGCATAGAGTGGCCTGCGAGGTCAGGCAGGTTGATGGCAGAGTGGAGTTCTGCTCCACCGGAGAGCCACTGCAAATGGTGCTCATGCCAACTGTGCAGACCACTTTCTCCGGGCCCGTGAAATGCCAGTTGGAGCACCGGGGGGAGTATGAAAGCTATCAGGCTTGTAGGTGGGAGGGTGATTGGGTGACGGTCACCATGGAGCAGCGAGACCTTGGCCCTTCCATGAATGACGAGCTTCACATCTTCATCGGTGATGTTGACTTGGTGCGCTATGGGGGCTTGAAGGACCCGCACTAGGACGCAGGCCCTTGTTCTCTCTATTTTGGGGCTGAGGTCCCCTTATAACCCATTTGTTATTCCTAGGTTACTCCTGGGTGAAGGACCCTCATCACAGGCAGCTTGAGAATTGGGGAAACAAGGACGCTGGCGCCCTCGAACTGACAGTTTGCCAAGAGACTTGCTAGCCATTGTGGTGCCCTTGTCCCCTATTTTTGGTACACGGTTCCCGGTTTAGGGTTTAGGGTTTTGGGTGTTAGGGGTTCGGGTTAGGTACACGGGGGGTTTCAGGTTCCCTAAGAAACCAATCAAAACATGGTACATGTTCGTTCGCTTGCTGGGCAACCTACTTGTTATTTATTTGAAAACACAAGGTTTAGGGTTTAGGGTTTAGGGGCCACCAAGGAGAGGTCGGGACCCCAGACAGATCTCCCCGGTCGCTACCAGATCGCCGAGCGGTTGAACCACAGTCAGCACAGTATCTAGGACGGGTTTAGGGTTTAGGGTCCAGGGGTTAGGGCTCAGGGTTTAGGGTTTTGGCCCGGGGGGGGGGGGGGGGGGGGGGGGTGGGGGGACGGGGATTCGGTTCCCAACAGGGCAATCCTTGTGAATCCAGAGAAGGCCCTCAGTCCCTTGTTTGGGGGGGGGGGGGGGGGGTTAGGGTTTAGGGTTTAGGGTTTATGGTTTGGGTTTCGGGTTTCGGGTTTAGGGTTTAGGGTTAGGTAAGCCTGAAGGGCACCTTTGTTTCTTTTCATTCCTAGCTTACTCTGGGTCCTAAACCCTAAACCCTTTGGGGCCTAGGTATTGTCTTCGCTTCAAGCGACTGCAGCGAAGGGAGGGGCACCCTTCGCCTGGGTGACTCCGTGGACGTGCTGGAAGTGCGGGGGCCAGGGGTTGCGCGGGGGCGCTACAAGGAGTTTGTAGCTGGGATGCCCACAAAAGCGCCCTTATTTCCTTATATATATATATATATTTATTTATTTATTTATTTATTTATTTATTTATTTATTTTTATATTCATATTTGTATTCATATTTGTATTTGTATTTGTATTTCTATTTATATTTATATTTATTTATTTTTTTTTGTTTATGTGTGTTTTTTTCTTTTGTGTGTGTGTGTGTGTTGCAGGGGTTTAGGTTCCCTTAGAAACCCTTTAGCAAAAAAACACACACACACACACACACACACCCTTCTTTTATCCTCTTTTGAGGTAGTTGGCCGTATCCACTTCAAGGGAGCCGATGGCTGGATTCCTCTGGTTGAAGGCATGAAATTCTATGCCAAGAGGTGTGACGTGGTAGCCCAGCCGTACCCTTTTGCCCTTTTGCTGTTTCAGGGTTCCCGTGTAAAGTAGCCAGCCCTAAACCCTAAACCTAAACCCTAAACCCTAAACCCTTATCATGATATGGTTCCTGGGCTCTCAAGGTGAGGAGGAGGCACTCTACAAGTTGGTCCTCTCACGGCACTACTCAGTGGAGCGGGGGGACGCCATGTACCTTGGTGGACGACATGAAGCCTTAAATTGGGTTTAGGGTTTAGGGTTTAGGGTTTAGGGTTTAGGGTTTAGGGTTTAGTGTTTAGGGTTCAGGGTTCAGGGTTCAGGGTTTGGGTTTAGGGTTTAGGGTCAGGGTCATATACCCTATACTACTATAATTCCTATCAAGGTATATGAACCATAAACATTTGGGGTCATACACCGCCTATACTACGATAACTCCCATTAAGCTAGAGGAACCAGAAACCCGACTCGGGATACTACTATAATTCCTGTTAAGGTTCATAAACCCTTTTAGGGTTCATTTCGACCCGAAGGTACCGGATCTTTGACACCTCGGAGCTGTGGTTCGCGGATGTAAAGGAGCGAGATGAGTTTGTCGCTGCATTCCGCTCATGGGAATGTGCCAATCCGCAGCCACCTTTGTGGACACGTGGTGGCCAGCGATGAGTCTCAGGAACAAGGAAGGATAGCTGGGACGCTTTGAAGCGTTCTGCGAAAAAGTGGATGCCGATGCGCCCGCCGTTGGTCGTCTTAGCAGCGTGCACTCGCAACCCAAATCTTCCAATTCTGGCAGGGTAGAGCATATCCCCGAATTCCGGGGTTGTTTCTGAGCCTACGGCCTGTACATATTGCACGGGCAGCTGGGTCCAGTGTCTGCTGGACGCCGGGAGCGGTGGCTGGGGAGTGGCGGGCTTTTTGGCTCGGCTCCTCTGCCGCATTCGGCTGTTCCTTGGATGCTAGGGCAGCCACTGGTGTCGGGGCTCTCCATCTGTCACACTTAGGGTTGTTCTGAAACGTGATTCGTGGTGTTTCCACGAAGGGGATGGGCGAGTGCCAGGTAGCTGTACAGTGCTTTTGGCCTCGCGGGGTAGGTAGGCTGCACATAGCTGCTTGCTGCTCGCACTCGTTCTGTTTGTAGTTTGTGATGTTGCTGTGCGTCCTTCACATGTAATGTACGATCCTCAGCAGAATGCTGGGCTCTCAGGAGCAGAACCGTGCTTCTGTGAGACCCCGAGGTTATGCTCATAAGTAGCATGACGTACCTTATGAGGTACCGGACACTCTTTCCTGCCACTAAGTGGAGTTAGGTGCCTCGCACCGCCGCGTTCAAAAGCTTAGGGTTATGGGGTATATGGGGTTGTGGGGTTATAGGGTTTAGGGTTTAGGGTTCACATCTGGAGCCGCTCTGCGTGTTGTTCCAGGTGTTTTTGTTCCCGAGGTTATGCTCAGAATCAGAAGTAGGAGCCTAAACCCTAAGCCCTAAACCCTAAACCCTAAACCCTAAACCCTAAACCCAAAGTAGGAGCTGGCAGTTCCATTTTAGGCTGTCCCGCCAATTCCAGGGTATTGCGCCCCCGCCCCCCATTCGCTTGGGCCTCCGATATAAATACATACAAAAAGATTATAGATGTACATATTAAACACATGTGTATATATATATATTATAGATCTATCTATTTATCCCTCTGTATGTATATATATATATATATGCTTGTCCTCATGATACGAAAACCCCAGGAAAAGTGGCGCCCCCAATCCTCCTAAACCCGAGACCATAAACCCTAGAGTCTGAATGTTGCGAAACTACCCACATGCGGGTTTAACCTCCAAGCAGTAAGGTACCCCTAATTTCGGAAACCCCCAAATCGCGTTCGCGTTGAGGCGTCCGACCCGGCCCACGATGCGGAAGATCGCCCAGATCCTAGGTGTGGGAGGGAGCCTTTCTCTCTCTCTCTCTCTCTCTCTCTCTGTCTGTTTGGTTCAGGATGTAGGGTTTAGGGTTTAGGGTTTAGGGTTTAGGGTTTAGGGTTTAGGGTTTAGGGTTTAGGGTTTAGGGTTTAGGGTTTAGGGTTTAGATTTCCGGGCCTGTGAAAAGGGCACCATCTTGTTCTCCATGTGTAAGCATACGGCGTCGAGTCATGTAGAGAGAAGCCCAGGCAAAGCAGTTTCGTCTCAGAGATGTAGAGTCTACTATACTACGATTTGCTTAAGAACCCCCCCCCCAAAAAAAAAAAGACAAATATGCTTCCGTAATAAGGGAAATATAGGGATTGTGATTTTTGGGGGGGGGTTCTTAAGCAAATAGAAGTATATGGACTAGACAGAACTGGGACTACGTCCCAAACCCGATAAGCCCCAAAAAGCTGCCCGGTTTTTGCAAGCCCTAAACCCTAAGCCCAGACCCTAAACCCTAAACCCAAAAACCCCAAACCCCAAACCCTAAACCCTAAACCCTAAACCCTAAACCCTAAACCCTAAACCCTAAACCCTAAACCCTAAACCCTAAACCCTAAACCCTAAACCCTAGTCGGGCTTAGGCCAGTCTCTCCTGCACCTCACCTTCACCCTTACGCTGCCGGCTCTGCGGCGTGGGCCCCTAAGTTTCGTACAGGTGGGGGCTGCGTCGGGCCCAGGGTTCAGGGGGTTTAGGGTTTAGGGTTTAGGGTTTAGGGTTTAGGGTTGAGGGTTGAGGGTTGAGGGTTTAGGGTTTAGGGTTTAGGGTTTAGGGTTTAGGAACCCTAAACCATAAACCCTCAGCGCGGCGGGAGCGATTCCAAGACATTTAAGACAAGTTGCCGCACCCATCTTAGCAACGAAAAGCTCTAAACCTAACTCTAAAAGTCCCTGAATCCTGAATCCCGAAATCCCAAAACTTTCAAATTGCCCAAACCCGAAACCCTAAACCCTAAACCCTAAACCCTAAACTCTAAAGCCTGGAAGACGCAGCTGCAACCCTTGTCAGGTAGCACAAAAGGCACCTTCAGGTTTACCAGACCCAACGCTACAGCATTCAACCCGAGCTTCCAGGGTTTAGGGGTTAGGGTTTAGGGTTTAGGGTTTAGGGTTTAGGGTTTAGGGTTTGGGGTTTGGGGTTTGGGGTTTAGGGATACAGCTTCGAATCAAAGTCCCTCTTTTTGTTGCTGTCTGGGATTGGTATCCCAGCTCCACAGTGCAGTGTGAATCAACTGCTAGCGTCCCATGTGTCCCGTGCCTGGGATTTCGCCCCACTGATCTAAACCCTTAAACCCTTAACCCTAAACCCTAAACCCTAAACCCTAAAGAGCTCCGAAAGGTATGCTGCGGGCCCCCACCGAGGACGTTTTCCGCCGATGGCTTACACGGAGCGCCAGCTTGCACAGCAGACCACCCTATACCCGACCATAAACCCTAAACCCTAAGCCCTAAACCCTTAGCCCTAAACCCTAAACCCTACGCCCGAATTCTAAACCCCGCGACCGTTCGGGGAGGGTTTTGGGTTTAGGGGGGCGTGTATGGGGGTGTAGACCCCTAAAATCCCCTAAACGCTGAGAAACCATTAGTGTAGGGTTCAGGGGTTTAGCGCCATTGGGGGTTTCGACCCGTAAACCCTTAGGACTCGGTTGGGTCGCAACGCCCAAGGCACAGCACTGCGCACTCAGGCGCACTACGCGTTGGGCTCAGTGCAAAGTGCAGACCTGTGTCGCGACTCTTGCTAAACCCTAGGTTGGTTTTTAGAATACAGGGACCCAATATACAAATAGTATATTTCAAATGGTTTTAAGGCCAGGCCAGATTCTTTGGCCTTTAGGGTTTGGGGGTTTCGCGTGTAAGGTGTAAGGCTCAGTACCTTCGAACCCAGACAGTGCAGCAGTGTTGGCGTTCGATATACGGTGTTGGCGTTCGATATACGGAATATACGGAAGTAAGAGGTTATAATGGTGGCTTTGGGGAACGCTGGAGCTGTGACTTAACCTAAACCTTAATACAGTGCCTTCAGGCCCCAAGGAGTTCGGGGTTTAGGGTTTAGGGTAGGCCTGTGCCCAAACCCGGATGCTGCGTGATGAAACGCTAAACCCTAAACCCTAAACCCCAAACCCCAAACCCTAAACCCTAAACCCCAAAAGGCTTAGTGCCTTAGTGGGCTGCTCAACATATATCGAGGGCGATCTTCTGGCTTTGGGCTTCAGAGTTCAGACTACAAGGTTTTAGGGTTTAGGGTTTAGGGCTGAGGGTTTAGGGTTTAGGGTTTAGGGTTTCATCACACAGCACCTGAGTTTGGAGGGTTGGTTCGAAAAAATTAGTGGTTGTTGTACTTGTTTGTGCGTCAGGGTTCAGGGTTGTTGAGGATTTAGAGTTTAGGGTGTAATGTTCAGGGTTGCGCAGACAATTCTATGATTTCGGCTTTACGCTTTGTTCTAGGGTTCAGGCTTATAAGGTGCGGGTTTATTGTCAGTTTTAAGGTTTAGGATCCTGGGGTCGTCTCAGAAGGTTTAAGGTTTAGGTTTTCGGGTTTGGGGTTTAGGGTTTAGGGTTTAGGGTTTAGGGTTTAGGGTTTAGGGTTAAGGTTGCGGATAAGGAAGGCGTCACGGAAAGAGCTTGCGTTCCGAGAGCGAAGGGGGAAGGAAAATATGTGGCATGAATGAGGGCTTCTGCATTTTTTTTGCGGTGTCCTCATCTCCTTAATCTTGTGGGATTCATCGCTTTGTCCTGGTCTCTTGGAATTGATGTTAGAAGCCTTTTGCCTTTTGGTGAACAGGACAAAGCTGACATTTTCAGGTGAACTGATCCCTTTTTGAAGAAACCAAGTGAACACGTGAAATCAAGAATTACTCATCCGTGTCTTTGATCACCTTTTTGGTTCCCTAAGCCCTAAGCCCTAAACTAAACCGTAAACCCTAAACCCTAAACCCTAAACCTCATTCGATCCCTGAAAACCTGAAGCCTGAAGGCCCAAACTAACCTCAGGGGCTTCCCTACTAGCCCCCTCAAGACTCCCTCTAGGTTCCCCCATTGAATAACCTTAACTAGGCTTAAATATCCCTACATTTCCTTAATTATGGGGGGAACCTAGGGGGGGCAGTAGCCCTAGACCCTAAACCCTAAACCCTGAACTGAACCCTCAGCCCTAAACCCGAAATCCTAACCCCTAAACCTTAGTAAAGAAGGGGGGGTGGTAGGGCAGCCCATGAGAACCCTACGCCCACTTCTTAAATTTGCGGTCATAGGGCGCTTGACAAGTTCTTGTAGGAAGAGCTCCTAAACCCCCACTGTCAACCTGGCCTTCTCTGAAACATTCCAAACTTGGAGGTTTAGGGTTTAGGGTTTAGGGTTTAGGGTTTAGGGTTTAGGGTTTAGGCTTTGGGAGCCCTGAGCCCTGAACCCCGGAGCCGTCGATCTCCGCTTGGGGCTCTGAGGTCCGGACTCTCGCGCGCCACTGCGAGAAGCTGCAGTGGAAGTGCCTGGCGGCATCTAAGTGGGTGTGAACCCAACACACACGCGCGAAACGCTAAAACCTTGGACCCGAAACCCTAAACCCGAAACCCTAAACCCTAAACCCTAAACACCTCTGGCCACCCAAGAAGCAGGCCTATGGCTTCGTGCCTTGGGGACCAAAGGGGCCCTCAAATTCAGGTCATATACCCGAGCTATACTACTAGAGTTCCTCTCAAGGTATATGAACCAAAAAC